ATTATTATAACAAGAAACTATATTAAACTGCATCTTCATCTACTGCTGGTTATTACAACAAGAAACTTTATTGAACTTTCAATTTTGACTTGCTACTGGCTATTACGTACAACAAAAAACTTTTTTAAACTTTCATCTTTATCTGCTGTTGGTTATTATAACAAGAACCTATATTGAACTTTCATCTTCTTCATGCTGCTGGTTATTACAACAAGAAACTTTTTTCATCATTACATACTGCTGGTTATTACAACAAGAAACTATATTGAACTTTCACCTTTATCTGCTGCTGGTTATTACAACAAGAAACTATATTAAACTTTCATCTTTATCTCTGCTGCTGGTTATTACAACAAGAAACTTTTTTAATCTTTACATGCTGCTGGTTATTATAACAAGAAACTATATTAAACTTTCATCTATCTGCTGCTGGTTATTACAACAAGAAACTATATTAAACTTTCACCTTTATCTCTGCTGCTGGTTATTACAACAAGAAACTTTTTTCATCTTTACATGCTGCTGGTTATTATAACAATTAAGAAACTTTATTGAACTTTCATCTTTGGCTTGCTGCTGGTTATTACAACAAGAAACTATATTAAACTTTCATCTTTATCTGCTGCTGGTTATCACAACAAGAAACTATATGGAACTTTCATCTTTGGTTTGCTACTGGTTATTACGTACAACAAGAAACTTTATTGAACTTTCATCTTTGGTTTGCTGCTGGTTATTACAACAAGAAACTATATTAAACTTTCATCTTTATCTGTTGCTGGTTATTACAACAAGAAACCTTATTGAACTTTCATCTTTATTTGCTACTGGTTTTTACAACACGAAACTTTTTTAAACTTTCATCTTTATCTGATGTTGGTTAATTATTATAACAAGAAACTATATTAAACTTGCATCTTTATCTACTGCTGGTTATTACAACAAGAAACTTTATTGAACTTTCAATTTTGACTTGCTACTGGCTATTACGTACAACAAAAAACTTTTTTAAACTTTCATCTTTATCTGCTGTTGGTTATTATAACAAGAACCTATATTGAACTTTCATCTTCTTCATGCTGCTGGTTATTACAACAAGAAACTTTTTTCATCATTACATACTGCTGGTTATTACAACAAGAAACTATATTGAACTTTCACCTTTATCTGTTGCTGGTTATTACAACAAGAAACTATATTAAACTTTCATCTTTATCTCTGCTGCTGGTTATTACAACAAGAAACTTTTTTAATCTTTACATGCTGCTGGTTATTATGACAAGAAACTATATTAAACTTTCATCTATCTGCTGCTGGTTATTACAACAAGAAACTATATTAAACTTTCACCTTTATCTCTGCTGCTGGTTATTACAACAAGAAACTTTTTTCATCTGTACATGCTGCTGGTTATTATAACAATTAAGAAACTTTATTGAACTTTCATCTTTGGCTTGCTGCTGGTTGTAATGTACAACAAGAAACTATATTGAACTTTCATCTTTATCTGCTTGTTATTACAACAAGAAACTATATTAAACTTTCATCTTTATCTGGTGCTGGTTATTATAACAAGAAACTATATTAAACTTTCATCTATCTGCTGCTGGTTATTACAACAAGAAACTATATTAAACTTTCATGTTTATCTCTGCTGCTGGTTATTACAACAAGAAACTTTTTTCATCTTTACATGCTGCTGGTTATGATAACAATTAAGAAACTTTATTCAACTTTCATCGTTGGCTTGCTGCTGGTTATCATGTACAACAAGAAACTATATTGAACTTTCATCTTTATCTGGTGTAGGTTATTATAACAAGAAACTATATTGAAATTTCATCTTTATCTGCTGCTTGTTATTACAACAAGAAACTATATTAAACTTTCATCTTTATCTGGTGCTGGTTATTATAACAAGAAACTATATTAAACTTTCATCTATCTGCTGCTGGTTATTACAACAAGAAACTATATTAAACTTTCATGTTTATCTCTGCTGCTGGTTATTACAACAAGAAACTTTTTTCATCTTTACACTTTTTTCATCTTTACATGCTGCTGGTTATTACAACAAGAAACTATATTAAACTTTCATGTTTATCTCTGCTGCTGGTTATTACAACAAGAAACTTTTTTCATCTTTACATGCTGCTGGTTATGATAACAATTAAGAAACTTTATTGAACTTTCATCGTTGGCTTGCTGCTGGTTATCATGTACAACAAGAAACTATATTGAACTTTCATCTTTATCTGGTGTTGGTTATCATAACAAGAAACTATATTGAACTTTCATCTTTATCTGCTGCTGGTTATTACAACAAGAAACTATATTAAACTTTCATCTTTATCTGCTGCTGGTTATTATAACAAGAAACTATATTAAACTTTCATCTATCTGCTGCAGGTTATTACAACAAGAAACTATAATATTAAACTTTCATGTTTATCTCTGCTGCTGGTTATTACAACAAGAAACTTTTTTTCATCTTTACATGCTGTTGGTTATTATAACAATTAAGAAACTTTATTGAACTTTCATCTTTGGCTTGCTGCTGGTTATTTCGTACAACAAGAAACTATATTAAACTTTCATCTTTATCTGGTGCTGGTTGTTAAAACAAGAAACTTTATTGAACTTTCATCTTTGGCTTGCTTCTGGTTATTACGTACAACAAGAAACTTTTTTAAACTTTCATCTTTATCTGATTATTTGTGTTCCCAGATAGAAATTCTAAATTCGAAAGTGGAAGCTCCGGATCATGTTTTTTTCATATTGTGCTTTATTGGTCATACTTGTAACTCCAGAATAAATAATTTTTAATCTGTGTGCTAAGCCAGCTAAGCGGCTTCGACATTTATATTTTTGGGGGGTGAGGTTCTGAGGAAAGTTGGTGTGGCAAGGAAGCCTAAAATCAGGCGCGGATCTAGACTGTATCGAACATGGCTCGAGCCACGGTTGGATTTTCCCATCCAGAATTTTCCCATCTACAATCTAATATTCACACATCATTTAGAAGTACATATTAATTCTTTGAATCACACCAAAACGAAGGAAATATATGTCTAAAACAAATAATGTGAGTAATATCTTATGTAATCGGTGGCCTGTTTTTGATTATGCAATAAGCATAATAAACAATAAAGTTCGACACTTCTCGACTTCGAACTCAGGTGTATTTTATACATAACAGGTTCAATTAGTCTGTTCGCTGCATCCTGGCTGATTCAGGCTGAATCGAATGCATTAATACATAAATCCGTCGAAATTTCTCAAAAGCAAATCTAAGCAAACATATTTTTCCCAAGAGACTAATACTGATAATCTTTACTTAATGTCCTTGTAAGGTAAGACTTTTAGGTTTTAAATCGAACAATAGGCGCTCTCCTTTATACGGAAAACGGCCAGACCGGTTCAGTTGTATTTCGGTACAGACAGATTACTGGTATTTTAAAGTGTTTCAAGAACTCTGCATTCAAGTATATTGTTATTTACATCTGCCTAGCACGAGAAATGCAGTTTCACTGCTATATTCTTAACAAAATACTTTATTTCAATTTTAAATATGACCAGTCTGACCTTTTTGGCCACTTTTTGGTATGTGTCGTTCCGATTTCGCTAAGTGACCATTCTTTGATCTTTTGTGTATTGAAAGCTGGTGTTCCCAAAGCTAAGCCAAGAACAATGGAGTATCGCTCTTACAAGCACTTCGATGCCAATTCATTTAATAGGGACCTTAACAACGTTCCTTGGAATATTGTTGACGACGAAGAAAACATTGATGACGCTCTACACACCTGGAATTGCCTATTTTCTGAGATTGCAGATGAGCATGCACCGATAAAAAAACGTCGTGTGAAGGGAATATCGTCACCATGGATGAATACCAAAATTAGTGAAGCGATGCGAGACCGTGACTACCATCACTGGAAAGCAATTAAAACTAACCTGATCAGTCACTGGAAAATGTATAGAAAACCTAGGAATTACGTCACGCGTGAAATCAAAGCTGCTAAATCAAAACATTATTGTAGCGTAATTGAAGAAGCGAAAGGTGATTCGAAAAAAGTTTGGAAGGCGGTAAATGAAGCTGCTGGTCGTGGTGTTATAACCTCAAGTCCACAATGTATTATTTCAAATGGTGTTCAGCACTTTACGTCAAGGACCATTGCCTCAACTTTGAATTCGTATTTTGTGTCGATTGGGAAAATTCTCGCTGAAAAAATAACACCCACTAATATCTCAAATGAGATTGACACAGATTTGCCAGGTACTTCATTTCATTTGGATGAACTCGATGAATTAACGGTGCTACAACAACTACTTTCCCTAAAAACTAACAAAGCTATTGGCTTAGACAAGATTATGCTAGATTATTGAAATGTGCTGCTTACTCAATATCTCCCTCCATCACTAAACTGTTAAATCGGTCAATCTGATCTAACAGGTTTCCTGAAATATGGAAATGTTCGAAAGTTTCAGCTCTGTTTAAATCAGGAGAAAGGAGTGATCCTACAAATTATCGGCCAATTTCAATATTGCCCACTCTCAGTAAAATCTTGGAAAGAGCTGTAGATCTACAGCTGTATGAATATTTGAATTCAAACAAACTACTTTCCAATACACAATTTGGTTTTAGGCAAAAACGTTCTACAGTAACCGCTTTATCTAACTTCACAGACGAAATCTTACATAATATGGAAAAGGGGAAGTTTTGTGGTACTGTATTTTTGGACTTACGTAAGGCGTTTGATACTGTGAACCATGGTTTATTGCTTAACAAATTATCAAAGCTTGGTGTAACTCCATCTACTCGGCAGTGGTTTCAGTCATATCTCAACAACAGAAAGCAACGAACTGTCCATGACAATGAAGTGTCGGATGCTCTCCCAGTCACCGTTGGCGTCCCCCAGGGCAGTATTTTGGGTCCATTGTTATTTACTATTTATATCAATGATTTGCCAACCACGGTTATTAACTCCAAAATGCTGCTTTATGCTGATGACGCGGTAATTTACTGTCATAATTCAAACCTTCAGGAGCTGGAAAAGGAACTGAATGAAGATCTTTTAATTATTGCCAAATGGTTGAATGATAATAAAAAAACCGAATGTATGCTAATTGGTAGCAGTCGCAAGCTTGCAGGAAACATTCGGACGCTGTCAGTATCTATTTCTAATTATGGAATTAGTAATGTAAATAGTTTTAAGTATTTAGGGGTGTTTTTAAGCAATGATCTTACATGGTCAAAGCATATAGATTACTTAACGTCCAAGATTAATCAAAGGCTTGGGCTTTTAAGAAGAATTAAGTATCTTTTACCTTTTAAAGCACAAGTTCTATTTTATAATGGCTTAGTTCTCCCTCTGTTTGATTATGCAGATGTTGTATGGGGAGATAAAAATAATATTACGCTTATGAATAAGCTGCAGACACTGCAAAAAAAGGCTGGTAAAATCATTTTGGATAAACCACTATATTCATCTGCCTCAGAAGCACTTGGCAAGTTAAATTGGATTACACTAGAGCAAAGAAGATTTTACCATAGATGTCTATTTGTCTATAAGTGCGTAAATGGTTACATATATCATTCTATGGATTTATTAACAGCAGGAGATGTGCATGGTTACAACACGAGAAATAAGGATAAACTCAGACTACCCCATGTTACACGTAATTGGGGTAAGCAGAGAATGTGCTATCAAGCTGTGAACGATTGGAATAGTCTCGAAATAGATATCAGAACTTCGTTAAATATCAAACTTTTTAAACATAAATTGCTGAATAGTTTGTAGTTTTTAGCATAAATTCTATTGTCATAATTTAAATATAACCTAGGTTTGCATGCGATTTAATAATTAACTCAGGTCCTTTTTACTCGGGCTACCTGTGGTAGCCGAGTCTAGGTTTCGCGATTATTACTATTTTTTTTTTTTTCGTGTCGCAGGCTTAGTCTTCCGCGCGGACAGTCGCGTATTACAGTGTATTAATATAGCTCAGTTTCAGTTCACTGGCGCGGAATGAAGCGGAGCAAAGCCAAATTAACTTTTAAGTAATGTGAAAATAATGGGAATTGAGTCGCTGTTACGTTGATTGTGCTGTTTAGTTGCGTCTGCGTCCACGAACAGGTTGGTATTAATCTTTGAGTTTGTGTCAGGAAATTTATTAGTCACGTACTGTACGCTTAGTTTATTTCCGATTTATTTAATTTCATAGCGAAATGGGTGAGCAGGAATCAAACAAAGGTAAGCATGTCAGGTCATAGGTGTGTTTAATTGCACATCGAATTAATATCTTGTGAATGACTCCTATAAACACTATAAAGCAAGTCATTTTCTGTACTGTGCTACATCTTCAATATTATATAGGGATAGTTATACTGTCATAGAGTGTAATACACTGCATTTTTTTAGATGTTAACCGTGGTTTTGTCCACAATTTGAGTCCAGTTAAAAGGTCAAGGAACCAAAATCAATGGTTTGAATTCAACCTTCAAACGAGTCCAAGTAAAGTCAGAAGAGTAGTTGGTTTCAACATTTCCAGCCATTCCACATTAAAAGAACTCGAGGAGTCTAAAACTCCTGTGGTCATAAAAAACACAAAAGAGACGAAGGATAATGACATTATATTTAACCAGCAATCAACTGTCAGAGCTGCACCAGCATTTGATATTGATTTTGATTACTCAACTGCCTTAACTTGCCCAATGTCATCTGTAACTATGCCAAAAACTGCAACAGTTATTGCTCTTAAGGAGGTCCCTCATCTTGAAGCTAATCAGAAAGTGAATGTCACTGCAACTCTCACATTAGGAAAAGATAAGCCTAAAGCAGTTCAATTAAAAGCAACCCAGAAAATAGCATTAATCAAAGAAGATTGCATTCTTGAAGATACAAGTGGATCTGTAATCTTTCACATTTGGGAACCAATGCCACAACAGCTGAGTAATGGAAAAACTTATGAGTTTAGAGATCTTTCTGTCAAGCACTTCCAGGGAGCAAATCATCTAACAACATCTTCAAGCACCACTTTTACTGAAGTAGACCAACAAGTTCAGACTTTGAGTGGACCTGCCCTTCTAGTAAGTCCAGACAAAGAGTTTCACGTGAAAGAGTTCAAGTCGGTAAATAAGCTAAACATCTTTATCTCTTGTGAGATGTGCAGACGTAGAATCTCTGAAATATCAGAAAGGTATGTCAAATGCCATAACTGTGGGGTTCGTCAAAGGGTAGAAAATTGCACTACAGATGCATCAGTTCAGGTTCTTGTCTGTCTATCAGAAAATAAAGAAATATGGCTAACAGCTTTCACTGATGTAGTTACATCCTTACTAGCACCTGGCTCACTTTCTTTACTCAGCCATTCTGATGCAATTGAGGAGTATCTTCTTGACATTACTGACATTAAAATTAGTTATAATGCTAACAAGAATGTCATTACAAAGGTTGCATCATTTGTGCAACCAAAGAAGTAATTAGTAATGATACTTAACTCTGGAACAATCAGGTTAATATTAATTTGATATTAGGGATTTGTAGTTATAGCGTTATCAAAAAAGTTGTACCATTTTGTGTCCAACCTGAGAAGTACTGTGAAACAATTAGGTGATTAATTTGATATTAGATTATTATACTTATAGTTATAGCATTAACAAAATGTTATCACAAAAGTTGCATCATTTGCTGTGAACAATCATGTTAATATTAATTTGATATTAGGGAGTTGTAGTTATAGCGTTATCAAAAAAGTTGTATCATTTTGTGTGCAACCTGAGAAGCAGTGTGAAACAATTATGTTATTTTGATATTAGATAATTATAGTTATAGCATTAGGAAAATGCTATCACAAAAGTTACATCATTTGCTGTGCAAATTTATTAGGGGGGTTGGCATGAGAACGTGAACGACAAAGAGGACATGAGTCGTGAAATTAGCGAATAAATGAGAATATGCGCAGAATCTTCCTCTTTCGTTCCCATGCATCAGGAGTTGAAAACTTGCGGTGACATGCGAGTTGCGTCTCGTTTGATCCGGGCCTAACTCGAACAAAATTCCAAAGTGTTGGATCAGGCCATCCAAACACGGGAAACCATTAACTAATTGTTTTATAAAATAACAACAAAGCGGTGTTTCATTTTAATAAGCAAATTAAATTTCCGCGCACGTGTTTGGCCTGATGCTCTGATCCAAAGACGGGCTTCGACCAATCGCAATTCCAGTCACATGCACAGTGAGTAAAATCGCTACCGGGCTACCTGTGGTTGTCAACAGCTGAGTGACGAATGACGAATCACACTTACGCAAAAAAAACAATGCAGTTGTCCTTCTGATACGTATTCTGTAATCAACATCACAGATTAGTTGTCAACATTGAATTGTTCAAGGCAAAGGTTGCAAGCGTTTATCGATTCAGGAATTTCAATTCGACTTCTTCCATTTCGCAAAGCCATTAATTTTAATTGACAAGGATTTCTCATTTCAAGGTAAGCCATACATTTCCAAGTATTATATTAGATTTTGTGGCACTTCACTCAATTGTGTGTAATTCCACTCGAAAATTAAGACCCTAAGACCCTTTGAAACTCCAAGTATTATACTCAATCTCAAATCCTTAAAAGCGATGATCGCTGACAGTCTGACTCACTATATACAGACTCAAGCTTGCCAGTATATAGTCTTATCAAGGCTAGGGTTTCATAACGTTGCTTCATTTTATATACTTGCAGGTTGAAACGTGAAATTGTGGGTAGTTCAAGTTTTCTCACAGGAACCTGCGTGTTCGCGCTGATCATCATATTCGATCAGACTCTTGCGTTTTTCACGCTCAATATATACTGACAATAGTCAAATCAAAGCAAAATTAAAGCAAAGAAAATCAAACTAGTCATATAATTCTAAAGCAAACCATTAATAAATTAACCTCCAAAATCACAGACAAGCACTTACTCGAATGATTCCTACAATTTAAAAAATGACAGTTACAATTGAACAATACCGAGCAAGAATAGGGACCCATGCCAATTATCTTAAAACAAAAGAAGCTCTCTCTCATGTAGACGGTAACTTTTGGAATTCAATCTTTATGTTATTTTACCTCACTGTTTTTTATTTTCCAACATTGAAGACGTTGGCAAAACAATACAATAGTGCTAATGAATGCAAGTCAGCTATAAAATCAGTAGACTTAAAAAAGCTAAATAATTCACAAAACGCAACCAGTACCCACAAAGACTTAAACCACAGAATGAATTGTTGCAAGTTTAATCTTTGCAGAGATATTGAGACTAACCCAGGTCCTACCTTTATTGACCCTAGTAAAACTATTCATGCACCTTATAGCCAAGGTAATGTTGATGTATTTGGTACAAATGCAGGAAAGCAATGTGTAGCCATGAGTTTGTGTGCTTTGATACATAACTATAAAAACAAATCAATGACATATACTATAAATCACCCAGAACATCTAATTCAGATTATGAACCTTGGAAATGAATTGTATGTTGCATTATCTAGATTATCAAGACAATCATATTTACTGCTAAGTGAGCTACCTAGCATGGTTACTGTCCACAACACAAATTATGAACTTCAGTTTAGTGAAAGTTATTCTGGTGCACTGCATGCAAATACTTTGAATGATAACATCCCATATGTCATGCCATTAGAATATGCTTTACAAGCTTTGCTACAAAATAATTATAATTCATTTCTTTTAACAATAGCATATAGTACTGTATCAATCTTTACTATGCCAAATGGTCTTCTAAAAATATTTGACTCGCATGCAAGAGATTCCTTTGGTATGGCTCATCCTCATGGAACATGCGTTTTGTTGGAAATAAACTCAGTTGTTAACTTGGTAGCATATTTAAAAAATCTACACAAACCAGATGATTTATTTGAGCTAAAAGGTGTTGAAATCGCAACTGCACAATTTGCTCAAGCTACAGACATGCATTGCAACACATCTGAAACAAACTCAAGGTGTTTCTCTCTAAAACATGAAAATGCAACACTCACTCATGATAATTTTAATTCTGAACCATGGTATGCAATATTGTGCTATTCAATTTCTTTTTCCTCTATTATGGCATGCCGTTACTGGAATAATCAGACACTGATTGCTATTGTAGAACATGCGATGCTAATACACCAGCAGACATTCAATGATCAGAACAAACTTGCATGTAAATATAGGATGCAGAATGTAAATATATGTGGTGCTGATGTTGAGGTAGTTTTTAGTTCAATACACCAAGCCACATTGACTACAAACTCTGTTTCTAGTAAACTAGCCCTCAAAACTCTAATATTGGACAACACAAAGGAAAATAGTGGATTTGTGCTGTGGCTTCCAATGTTTTATTTATCCTGCATTTTTCAGCAAAATACCAGGCAAATGCAGTATTTCATGCTGGTATGCAATGAAAACCAAACAATTGATTTATTTGAACAATTTATCAACGTAGATTTATTTATTAATAAATTGTGTAATATCCTCACACAAAAACTTGAATGTGAAAAAACACAGTGCAATATTCAATTCTTGTTTTGTTCTTGTCAGCTAACAAAATCAAAGAGACAAAAAGTATTAAGACAGCATAAGTCAATGAAACAAAAAGAGTTAGTAAACAACAAGAGAAAAAATGATTATGCCAATTTGGAACCTGTTAGAAAAAAGAGGATACTTGAGAAAGCAGCGCTACGCTACAACAACGATCCTGTAAAAAAGAAACTTATTCCCGATACAAACAGGCGGAAGTATAAATCAATGGACCCCATAAAGAAGAAAATTCTTCTTGAAACAGATAGGCAGAAATATAAATCAATGGACCCAATAAAAAAGAAAGCTCTTCTAGAAACAAGTGCGCAAAAATATAAATCAATGGACCCTATAAAAAAAAAAGCTCTTCTTGAATCAAATACAGAGAAATATAAATTGATGGACCCAATAAAAAAAAAAGCTCTCCTTGAAACAAATAAGCAGAAATATAAATCAATGCACCCAATACAAAAGAAAGCTCTTCTAGAAACAAATGCGCAAAAATATAAATCGTTGGACCCAATAAAAAAGAAAGCTCTTCTTGAAACTAATACAGAAAAATATAAATCAAAGCAATGTAAAGTATTAATGGATATACATCAATTGGATGATTATATCGCTACGTTTCACCTTAAAATAAAAGAGGGCCCTTATTATATATGTTCTGTTTGTAATCGATTACTCTACAAAAAGTCAGTGGTGTCATTAAAACAAGATAAATACATAAATTTGCCTGAAACTCTGTTCACTAATGTGGAGTCATTCGATGACAAACAATACATTTGTAAAACATGCCATTCAAAGCTATTAAAAGGGAAAATTCCTTGTCAAGCAATATGTAATAACATGCATGTTGATGCTATACCAGCGGAGCTTGCATCTTTAGAAAAACTCGAACAAATCCTTATTGCACAACGAATAGTTTTTGAGAAGATAATAGTTATGCCAAAAGGACAACAAAAAAAAATTAAGGGGGCAATCTGTAACGTGCCCGTTGAATGCGATAATACTTGTAAAGTTTTACCACGACCACCAGAAAGATCCGGTATCATAATGTTAAAGCTTAAACGTAAACTTGAATTCAGAGGTCATGTTTATTTTCAAGCAGTACGTCCCCAGTTCATTCTTGATGCACTTAAATGGCTTAAGTCAAACAATGAATTATATAGTAATATTACAATTGATATTGAAAATATCAGTGAAAAACTTATGACATTACAACAAGATGACAATACTTCACTTATGAAATCTGACAACAATAAACTGATGTCCTTAACCGCACAAAACTGCAAACAACAGGATACAAATCATGATGATAGCGAGGAAGAAGATGATCCATTGAATAAACATAGGCAAGCAACTAATGAGACATGTTTGCAGTCTGTATTACCAAACTACCCTGTGACAGAAACGAATCAACATTGCTCATTGGGGAATGAAGTGTTCAATATTGCACCTGGAGAAAACCAACACCCTGTATCACTAATGAAAGACCTAAGATGTGAAGAGCTTGCATTTCCAGTGTTATTCCCTGAGGGACAATTTGGCTTCACACATGACAGAGACATTAAATTGTCACCAGTAAAGTATTTCAATGCTCGACTCTTACATTATAGTGGAAGGTTTGCAACAAATCCAGAGTATCTTTTCTTTGCTCAATTCATAATGGAACAAAAAAAAGTATCAGATAGTATTAATATAGCGTTAAAAAAAATCCATGGCCAACCAGTCACTGCATCAGAAGTAAAATCTGATTTAAACAAGTTAAAAGGCTTAATTTTTCAAGATCAAGCATATTTATTTCTTCGGCAAATTCCTGGCAAACCTCCCTATTGGCAAAAATTTATGTATGAAGTAGTAGCCATGGTGAAACAACTTGGGATACCAACATGGTTTATGACATTATCATGTGCCGATCTTAGATGGCCAGAATTGTTTCAAATTATATCTAGAACACAAGGAAAAAATATTACTGATGAGGAAGTTGAAGCTTTATCATACAATGAAAGATGTTCAATGTTAAATCTTAATCCTGTTGTTGTTGCAAAGCATTTTCAACACAGAGTCGAAACATTCTTCACTGAAGTTCTGCTTACTCAAAATAATCCAATTGGTAAAATAATCTATTATGCACTTCGCATTGAATTTCAAATGAGAGGATCTCCTCATTTACATGCACTAATATGGACTGCTGATTGCCCCAAACTTACATCTGACAGCAAGGAAGCTTACATGCAATTTATAGATAACCATGTACAAGCCCATCTTCCAGATGAGAAAAAAGAACCAGAGTTACATGAATTAGTTAAAACTTATCAGAAGCACAATCATTCTAAAACTTGCAGGAAGTACAAAAATATCAGTTGCAGATTTAATTTTGGTCAATTTTTCAGCAAAAGCACAATAGTAGCCGAACCTCTTAATGATGACCTAGATGAAGAGATCAAAAGTAATATACTTGAGAGGCGAAAACAGATTCTGACGTCGGTGAAACAGAAAATAGACGAAGTATTAAACCCATCTAAGCCAGAATATAATGAAACATTAAATGATACAGAGATCCTAAATTTGATAGGTATCACCGAGGATGAATATTATTGGGCTCTATCAATATCACCAGACTCTGATTTTGAGTTGCATCTTAAAAGACCAACAGATAGTTGTTTTATTAACAACTACTTTGTCGCTGGCATTAAGGGATTTGCAGCAAATGTTGACTTGCAACCTGTATTCAATCACTACAAATGCATAACATATGTTTGCTCATATTTCACTAAAGATGAAACTGAATGTTCTCAAGCCATTGCAAATGCAGCAAAAGAAGCGAAAGCTGCTAACATAGATATTAGAGACGGCCTAAAAAAAATCGGTGCTGCTTTTCTCTCTACAAGAGAAGTTAGTTCCCAAGAATGTGTTTACAGATCAATGCCTGAACTTTGGTTGCGAAAAATATTTCCGAAAACAGTTTTTATTAGTACAGACTTTCCAGAGAAACGGATACGTGTTACTAAGACAAAAGCAGAGCTTGATGAGCTGGATGATGAGAGTACAGATATTTTTAAATCAAATATAATTCAGCGTTACAGCATTAGACCAAAATCAATAGCACTAGTTGATAAATTATGTCTAGCAGAATTTGCTGCATATTATTATAAAGATTATATTATTGGCCACAATGAAACAAATGATTCTCAGCCAGATGTTTTAACTGATGACTTCGTTGAAGCACAAAGTGGCACAATAAATTGCCTTCCCCAAAAAATAAAATTAATCAACACTAATGAATACATGAAATGCAGAAAAGTTAAAGCTGTATTAAGGTATCATACACCCAACAAAGAAAAAGAACCAGAATCGTATTTTCACCATTTGCTTATGCTGTATTATCCATGGCGAGATGAAAATAATCTCATGGCTTCAGATCAAACATATACATCTAAGTTCTATGAACCAGATGTTCAAGCCATCATCGAGCACAACAGAGCAATATTTCAACCTGATGCAGATGCTATTAGCAATGCTCTTGAACTATTGAGATGCAATCAGAACAATATTCATTCATTTTATTCAATAAATGATCAAGAAAATGCTGATTTGCAAGGTGAAATGCAAGATGACTCAATACCACATGAATCATTTAATGAACAATTACCTTCCCACCTTGATGTAGCACCACAATCTAATCAGAATTCTTCCTCTGGAGTTATTAGTTCTTGCAACCAACCACAAGAGATCTCTGACGATATATTACGTCAAACCGTAAGATCTTTAAATTTTGAGCAACGTCATGCATATGATATATTTCTCAAATGGTGTAGGAATACAATGAAAAACATGAACAGCATAAAACCTTATAAAATAGAACCAATCTATCTTTTCTTGACTGGCGGTGGAGGTGCAGGAAAAAGTCACTTGATTAAAACAATATACCATACAGCATTCAAGACATTTAGACACCCTCCTATCAACCCTGAATCTCCAACAGTTATTCTGGTGGCACCAACAGGTGTAGCTGCAATAAACATTGATGGAACAACAATAAATACTGCTCTGGCTATACCTAAAGAAACTGGTGATAATGTACCTCCAATGTCAGACCAAAAGAAAACGCAATTAAGGCTTTCACTATCTGACCTAAAGCTAATAATAATAGATGAAATTTCCATGGTTGGAAACACCACCTTACTAAATATCCACCAAAGATTAAAAGAAATATTTGGTACCAAAAGTTCTCTGTTATTTGCTGGCATAGCTATTATAGTTGTGGGTGATCTATGCCAACTTCCAACAATACGTAAGAGATTTGTATTTGACAATTACAAGAATGATTCTTATAATTTATCCCACCCATGGAAGATGTTTCAAATGATAGAACTAACGAAAATAATGCGACAGAAAGATGACCAAACATTCGTTGAACTTCTCAACAGAATACGAACTGCTACGCAAACAGACGATGACATTAAGGTAATCCAGTCAAGATCAATAACTAAATCTGACCCTAATTATCCATCAGATGCACTTCATATATGGGCTGAAAATGCTCCTGTTAATGAACATAATAAAAACAAACTTGAAGAAGTAGCTGGACCTTTATTCACTTTAAGAGCTAAAGATCAGTACCCAACAAATGTAAGAAAACAAGATATTGACAAAGTATTAGCAAGAGGACGCTCTGAAACTGGCGGACTTGATTATGAAATTCTTATTAAAGAAGGTGCAAGAGTAATGCTTACAACTAATATTAGTATTTCAGATAGACTAATCAATGGACAAATGGGAACTGTAGTTAAAATTGACGTCAATCAAAATACTCGAAAACCAACTGTAGTATATATCAAATTTGATGACCAAAATGCAGGTAAAGACTTAACTTACACTCATGGGAACCAATTTGCAAGAGAAAGCAGCATAGTCCCCATTGAGCCTGTATTGGCAAAAATCAAAATAAGACCAGGTAAAGCATCTTCACCAGAAATACATAGATTACAATTCCCTCTTACACTTGCATGGGCATGTACTGTACATAAGGTACAAGGTCTGACACTTGAAAAGGTTGTGATCAGTTCTGACTTGATAAAACAGAGAGCATTTAACTATGGACAAATTTATGTCGCATTAAGCCGTGCAACTTCCTTACAAGGTCTATACATTTTAGGAAAAATTGAGAGTAAACATATTAAAGTAAATCCTAAAGTTCTTGAGGAATACCAAAGACTACGAAGTAATTGCATAGTTCCACATTTAACAAGCGAATTGCAAAATAATCTTAACACTTTGACCATATCACTTTTAAATATAAGATCTCTCAAAAAACACAGCATCGATATAAAATTTGACTCAAGAATTCTCAATAGTGATGTCATAGCTCTCACTGAGACCCAACTACTGCCCTCGAATTGTGACAATGAAATTGTAAGTAATCTGAGTCCATTAAAGCTTCACCGTCAAGATCATCACACAGATAAATACTCCAGTATGGCACTTTGTACCAAAAATACTGTGGAAATCAGAGAGTGTGAATATCTTCCCTCATTGAATGGACTTAAATTTGACCTAATTAATACAGAATTGCAACAAAAAAGAACTTTTCTTTTACTCTATCGAAAACACACTTCCAACATCCTGCAATATGTACATTGCTTGAGATACATCCTTAATAGTTACACAATCGACCTAATTTTTGGTGACTTTAATATTAACTACTTCAATGACAATCAAGTTCAACCATTAAAATCCTTAATGGAATCGCTCAACTACACTCAAATTGTGACAGAACCAACATTCATTTCTTCAGGTAGCTTATTAGACCATGTCTATGTTAGACCCACAGTATTCCAAATAATTGATAATTATGTAATAAACATATATTATTCTGATCATGATGCTATCAAAATTCTATTACAATACTGCAACTAGAAAATTAGTTACATCTACAATAGTTGTATCCAAATCTTCCTTGTAATTGTTATCAAACAACATTCTACACAGGTACATATTCTGCTCTGAAATTCATCAATCCATATCAATAATTATTAAAACGACACTGCCACATTTATCAAAAGGCCTGGTGATCCATTCGAAATCTTTCAGAAAGACTGCACAAATTCAAGTGAAAAAAACCGGCCTGCATAAAATAAAATCTTATGTAGATAAAATCTTAAATATCCAAAAACCAATCCTACACATGTCATGTGAAAAAACACAAACAAAAAAGTCTTTAATTCTTTTCCTTTCCTACTCATTATTCCCCTTTCCCTCAACTCCCAAAATCTCCAATTGTCTTTCCTGAAATAACGGAGTTGCGCATCACTTCGGATGCCGCACCTATACTCACGTGCACCTCTCCCCCAAGGACATATAATATCTGCATTGCCTCTTAACAATGGAACAATAACAATGGAACAATAAATAAAAGTAAGTAAAATTTAAACTAAGCGCTCATATAACTGACCTTTAACATTCCATAGTTCCCATGCATGTATAATTTAATTGCCTCTTAATTGCCTCTGACTTGTTCTCTCTCTTTCTCTCTCATATTTAGATAAACCTGAAATATCTTGATCAGAAGACAAAGCTATTTAACAGTCACACCTCATCTAAAGCAAGCAATGACCTCTAGAACCAAAAAGAAATGAAACTTGGACCGCTGAACTATCAACCGCCAATTTATTACTCTGGTAATAAATTACTTGAACACTAACATATTTCAAGTAAAGAACCTGTAGAAAGTTTAACCAAGTAACTTTATGACAATGTATCATCTATTTCCCAAACAAAGAGCACATAATATGCCATGCGAAATAAACACAGCCTCTCCAATAACTTCTGTTCATCTGTATTACTTTCACTATGTCACCTTAATCCTGGTTGTCCATGTGTGTAAGTTTTAATGATAATAAAAAAATTCTATCAGTTTCTAAATAATATTTTATTGAGTTGAGCCCCGACTGTATCACATGAAACACATAACCTTATGCTTCAAAAAGCCAGCCAGAACTATTGATTGTCATAAGTGAACACTGAATTTGTGAAAATGCCAATAGCTCAGGAAACATGGAAAATACCTCTTATTTCTTTAGAAAAATACTTATAGCTTCATTACTCAAATCAGGTAACTAAAATTCTATAAAAACCCTGCGCCCCTCACCCATTTGTTTGGAGCAGGCTGATGATACAAGACATACAACCCGAGAAGACACAGCCCTGAACAAGCCTCCCTCCACCTATCCTCAATACATCTAGCAAACCAGCAGTTCTCCTCTCCAATACTAATACATCTCTCAAATATTATCAACGTAACCTTTGTTTCCTTTGAAATCAAACGCTCGCCTATAACTATGTTTCCTTGAACTATTTATTTAGTAATCTATCACGAACAAGTCTAGCTTATAAACAATGAAAATATTTTTTGTCCATTGCCCAGTATCCCGTCTACATAGCCCGAGTTAACGCCTACCCGGCGTCTTGTTGAAAATCATCTTGTATGAAAAAGTTTCCTGAATAAATATTATTATTATTATTATTATTATTATTACTTAATGGAAACGCCCTATGATACAAATTTGCATTTACGCTGTGGTCTGTGAATAATTTGTGTATGCAAAATTCACGTTATGTTCATGAAATATCGGTAAATATACCTTACCCAAAATTTTGAAAATGGTTTTGTGGTTTTATGAAAGTACAGGGATTGTTTCGGACGGTCCATAGCCCATTCGCCATACCCATCCATCCCCCCCAGACCGGAGATGCTAATGGGGGAAAAACATAAATAGTTTATGATTTCTAGCACTGTATTTCTTTACTAAGCTTCGCCCAAATAATTTCCCCAGTTTTAAGGTTTGAGAACACAATATAATATTCTGAAAAAAAGTTAGATTTCTTCACACAGGTTTCATAATATAGATTATTTCCATGTTTTCAGATCATTTTATTCATCCAATAAGCGTAAAAGGGCTCCAGTGAATGTATTTGATGATAGTGATCAAGACAGTGACAATATGCAAGTTGAGAGCTCAGATGATGAAGTATCGGAACCAGAACCAGAAATGCTGGATGAGGTGGTTGATGATGGTCAAGAAGATACAGTGAGTGATTTTGATGAAGACGAGCCATTGAAGGAAAGGCAGAAGGGGACAAAAAATAATTCACATGACAAGGTACTTTTCTGTGTTGATAAAAATTCAAATTATTTTAAATTGAGCACAATAACTAAAAGCGAGGCCAACTTTTTTGAATTTCAGAATAAGAAATTCTCATAGAAAACAAATTCTTGGAACTATCCACAATCATCTAACATTCCCATTGAAAAGCTGAAACCATTGAACAGCAACTTGTCTAATCTCAGTCAACCATTTGAGTTTTTCAAGGAGTTTCTCACCAATGATGTGTTGGAACATGTTACATTTCAAACAAACTTATACAACACACAGCGTGCCACACTTGGTTATAAACGGGTTGTGAGGAAGAGAGGTTCACTTGATACGTCTTACAAAAAAGTAAAGAGTGTGACAAAACATGAGATTCAACAAGTATTTGGTATGGTATTATATATGGGAATGAGACTGTCCAAAGAATTAGAGAAGAATAAGCATCAACTGTTTTTTGACAATCTCTTCTCCAGTCCTGAACTGTTAGTTTACCTCAAGTCTCAAGGCATCTTTGCTGTTGCAACACTTTGATCTGACCGTAGAAAAAGATATGCGAAAAAATTCCTGCAGAAAAAGATATGCGAAAAAAAGGCCGAGGGTGTCTTTCAGAATTTACAGATTTGAAAGCTGGTCTAGTGATCTGTGCATGGTTTGACAACCGTAGGGTGTTGACCATCTCAAACTTCTTGGGGCAGCATCCTGTCTCAAATTGCAAACAATATGATAGGAAGAAAAAGGAGACTGTTTCTGTTCCCCGTCCTGCCTCTGTTGAATTGTACAAAAAGTTTATGGGTGGGGTTGATAAAGCTGACATGTTTCTTTCAATTTATCACACAAAGCACAGAAGCAGTAAGGGGTACCATCGCATTGCATTCCATCTTATATCTCTGGCTGCTGTGAATGCATTTGTAATCTATCATGAGATTGGTGGAAGTGGATCCTTTCTTGATTTCATTGTTGATATATGTCGGTGTTTGCTTGCAGTTGAAATGCAAAATGGTCCTGATGATCAGTCCACCTCGGCCATCAGCATACAAAGGACACTGAAAGCTAATCAAGTGCCAAAGGATGTACGTTTCGACAAATGCAACCATTGGCCTCTTCAGACTAATAAGCCT